GACGAGATGATGCTTCATTTTTTTTCTTCTTTTTCGAAAATTGGCCTGGATTAAAATGGATTAAAAGAGCAATCGATTTAACCGCCAAAAAACCAGCAATTTTTCAAGAACAACATACATGGTGCGGGTGTTGTTGGCTGAGCATGTGTTGGCGCATGCGTAGTTGTTGTAGTATGCACAAGAGCGTGATGATTACATAAATCTCCATTGCAGCAATTTCCATCCAACGTCAAACCCACGTGGTCACTCCTTCGACCAAATAAATCACCAGCATTGACATGGAATCTTCTACACACCTATGGCGCATTATTTAATAATTCAGTTTTTGTCATACTATTTTTTGAAAATATTTTTTGTCTAATGTAATAGAAAAAAAATCGATGGACTACATGTACTTTAGTTAAACGCCAAGTGGGCAATATTTTAGCCGTATTTCGGTGGTAAAAAAGCGAAGTTGGTTTTTTATATATTGTTTGCAATAAATCATGATCAGGAACTTACATTTTCATGAAGACATCCTATTTGATAGCCATGTTTTCCATTATCCATTAATTTCTCCAAAACATAACATTGCTGAAAATGTTTAATCTTTGATAATTAAAATTCAAAAGAGGTAATCATTTAGATATATTCTGATTACTAAAAATAATTTTACTAATTTGAGCTTTTGTTTCAATATTAATTAAATAATAAGGATACAATATATTAGATAAATATCTGTAAAAATCAAAATTAATTCTACATAAAGATCTTTCTTTAATAACAAACCTCCCCTGGTAAACAGACAGAACTGCTGGTACAGTTTTCTGGGGATTCCACAAAGTGACAGGAATAACACTCAGCTACAATGTTTTCATTTATAAAAAATCTGATATATCGATTGCATTACGAGAAAGTTATATTCTCTACGTTAAAAAGACATAAGAGAGGAGGACCTTGTCTTTTATTTAAGAAGACATGAAAGAGGAGGAACCTGTATCAATATATAGGAAAATGATTGCATAATCATGCTCAAATTGCTCTAAAATAGATAGATAATATATTTCTTTTAATAGCTTTTTCAAACACTTACAGCATTTCCCACAGGTGCGTGGACAGGCCTGTACAAAACAATCATCACTACACATGTTCCTTTTGAGAGTAGCAAGTTTTTGACAGGAAGCGGTGTCAATATCAGCACATGCTTAAAAGATAAAATCAGGAAGTTCTTTTACGAGTATAAGATATATACACTTAATTCTGACAGGTAGGATTTTTTGATATAGCAAGTTAATAATGTAATCCTGACATGCTGACGAACATTTACATTTGAAGACAAGCGATCTAATCTGTTTTATGTACTAGTACCTTAGTAATTATCTTAATTACAGATAAAATTCATTGACATTTTATACTCCTCGTTGTGGACGTAGATTGTCCGAATGACATTAATACAAAATATTTATTAAAAATCAAAATTTATCAGATAGAGACTTAAACATTGACATGCTGTTGAATTAAAAACATAAGCATCCTTTCTCTCAGTACTATTTGAGAACATTATATAAATATTGCATGTAGTTGAGTGTAACATTGAAATTTTCACCCCAAGAAAACCATTGTCAACCGAGGCGCAGCCGAGGTTGACAATGGTTTTCGAGGGGTGAAAATGTTCAATGTTACACTCAACTACATGCAATATTTATTACATTATACTGAATGTTTTATACAAATACATATAACAGTGAACCGTGCGCGTATAAATTCTGCGCAGTCGCTATTTTTTGGAATACCACCCGTCGTCAAGCAATGTTGACTGTTGCTGCGCTGGAGGGCGTGGCTTCATTATTCAGCGGGTAGTAGTGTTTTTTAACAAATGTTTCTCGACCAATCAGATTCAACTTATTTCACATGAAGTATAATATTAACAATTGATGTTCAACTATATACCCCTTTTTATCATTATATGAGGGGTGATCAAAAAGTTCGCAAACTATCTCTATATCTACAAAACCACAATTCAGATTAGAATGAAATTCGGTACACACATAGCCATACACAAGGTCTATAAATAGCATATGCTGAATAAATTTTCTCTCCTTGTTTTTGACGTCACAATGTGAAAATGACGTCACTATTTAGGTCACTTGTGACGAAAAATGGTTGTCTCAGTCGAACTCGTTCAACAAACGACTGTACAATTTATTGTAATATCTTAGAAATCCCTCTACAGTATCATATAATAATTTGTACACAGTTTATTGAGATAAATGAGTTCCTATAAATTCAATTAATGATTGGATTAATCGTTTTAGTGAAGGAAGGCTGATGGTTAAAAATGATATTTGTCATCTTGCCCAGTGAAAGCAAGTTTGAAAAGATATGTATTTTTAATTAAGCAATTTGCTATCAAAGACCTCCAATTAGCACTTAAAATAGTTGAATATTTGAACAATGATATAAGTATTAAATACCTAAGATATTGTTTACTTTAGATTTTAAACATATTAGATATGATAAAAAGGATGCAACCATTCTCTATCCACCTTGAATAAAGGTCTCTCCTGAGACAGAAGGTTTGTGTTTTAATGGTCGCCATGCTTATTTTTGGAAAGGATGTTATTTTACCCCACCTCTGTCGATTTTTCCGTGAAATCCTGGCTTACGATTGGTTGGAGTCTGTCACGTGAAGGCGGTGGATTTCTTATACCCGGTCAGTTGTAAATCCATACCCGGTCAGTTGTAATCTATACCCGATCGATGTATTACGTCACAAACACAAACGTGACATCATAATGGGCAGAGTATAAGCGTGATGAAGGATTTAGCAGAGAAAACCATTTAAAAACTACAGATAAAACGTAAATGTTACATCGGTGGGGTAAATTCGTTACATAGTCTTTTAGTGACAGGGTATGGGATGATACCTGGTTAGTAAATTTCATACCTGACTCGGCTCCGCCTCGCCAGGTATGAAATTTACTAACCAGGTATCATCCCATACCCTGTCACTAAAAGACTATGTAACTAATAATCCACCCATTCTGTTGCCGAGATATGACCATTTCTGACAAATTAATGTTCTTGTCATAAAAATTAACTCACATGGAAAGAAATATAAAACTCGGAAACTCTTTTAACTGTTGTGACAGAACGCTACGGCGGGGGTCACGTGACCGCTAATATCACGTGATTCGCGCATGCGCAGAATGGTGGTTGATGTGCATTAAAATCGGGGAGGATTAATTCAAAATATAATCAGCATTAAAACCAAATATTGTTTCTTGTATGGAAGTTATTCAATTAGTTTGCGAACTTTTTGATCACCCCTCGTAATTGCTATTAAATCTATCCTTTGTCTATGAAGATATAATTTTTAAGAAAGTTATATTAAAAATCCAAATAAACACCAGTTGATGAAGTCGTAGACGTCGTTGTTCCGTCTGTGGTAGGTTTGTCCGGTATGGTTCCTGTCATTATAATAATCTGCCTCTTCCCCTTTACTGGCTCATGTCTGTTACACAGATCAGTACTGCAGCACTCGCCGTCAATACCATGCCTCTTCTTCTTACCCACCAGGATGGGGGCTCCTCTAGTGGTGGACGCTTCTGTCGTAGGTTCTGTCGTGGCTGTGGTCTCTGTTGTGGTGGCCTCTGTTGTGGCAGCTTCTGTTGTGGTTGCTTGTGTGGTGGTCATGTATGTGGTTGATGTGGTGGTGCTCGTTGCACCAAATAATGAAACGCATACCTTGAAATAATAAACTAGCATGAAAATTTAGGTGTAGACAACAGACGGGGATCGATCTCAAAACACATTTCAAAACGCTTGTCCATCAGAAGTAATTGAAAAGAAATTTAATTGATAAACCAAGTGATTTTCTTAAGGAACCACTGTCTAGTTAGTATAGTATGCCAGATAGTATGCCAGGGTATCAACGATAGTGGGAAACATGAGAAAATTTGCATAACGGGCGAAGCCGGTTGACTCCCATGCCAATTTCTATAGTCCTAATTCCTTGTCTACTGACGTCAAACACAAAGGCAGCCGCATGAGATCTACATGCATATGTGGCCTCCTTAGCGTCAGACACAGAGACATGCGCACGAGATTTGCATGCATATTAGGCCTCCTTAGCTCGGAGCCTCCAAACTTATCGACCTGCCTAAATTACATTCGGGTAGATTATCAAGAAATTAACTCTGCTAACTTTCAAAGAGTTATCACAGAGAAAAAAATATAAATGGAAATATTTAGAAATAATCTCAAGTTGATGAAAAAAAGTACATTAGCAGTCTCCTTTAAAGTCATCATTTCGTAAGTTTTATGGACGACAATGACCTTGTCACCAAATACAATTTTTTATTGAGTCAAATGTTGACTAACGTTTTTCATACTAACTGTTAGTCCATAATTAGTCTCCTACCGATTAAACCGGAGGGGACAATAGGTTTCCTCTGCGTCTGTACGCTTGTCTGAACCTCTCTGTGTGTCAGTCTGTCCTATTTGTTTTTTTTTGCACTTCTTTCTAAACGCTTGTATTGAGCTGATATTTAGTATGTAAGTGTATCTTGATGAGTAACAGATCAAGTTTCAGTGCCGTTTTGTTTCATTGATTTTTGACGGAATTATGGAAGTTTTAATTTTCATAATATGGCTGAAGATCGTGTTCATGCTGCACTAAATTTATGATCCAAACGAGATTGTCATGTTAAAAATTATTGATTTAAAACTTGCTTAGTAGCTTGATAAGGAAAAACTCAATAGAATGTACTATCGTTAAAATGACAAATATATCCTACAGACCCGGTTTAACGACAGAATGCATTCTGTATATTGGCTATATTTAGCAAAGAAAAAAAGAAGATAAATATAACTCGGTACTTGCTAGTTTCGAATGTCAACATGGTTAATATGAAGCAAAAAAAAAAAAAAGACGTTGAAAAAATGAGTCAAATTTTCTTTTTTATGTGGATTATGTTTTCAGGTGAAAGGCATGGCAACCTCCAAATTTTAACATCAAGTACATTTCCCTGGGCCATCATTTTTGCAGTAGAACATAAATACTTTCAACATAAATATTTTGGAGTTATTTTCAATGCAAATCCTTTTATATTCTTAAAAATCGTTTCAGAGTGATTGTCATTCTGAAATTTTTTTTGCTATATTACGAGTATATGGGAGGCATTCTAACTGTGGTGAGGGCTTGTTCCGAGACACAGTCAGATTATTCTAACTAAGTTACAAATTAAACCATAGATCATGTTTGATTTTTTTGCAATTGTTTTTTAACCATGTGTAGTTCGGACCGAAGCATGCACGTATGTATAATGACATTCATAGATGTCTCTCTTTGTAAAACCATATACCTTAAGTAAAGTGGTTCAATTTAGGTCTATGATAAAACAGATCGACTCAATTCGAAGATATTTCATTCATAAACAATTACAATTAATTACCGAAAGCTCCACATTTTGTGGGCACTTTTTTATAAACAGGATATTATAAAATGACATTCTAGATAGAAAAGGGGAACCCGGTAGGGAACATGTATTGGTTATGCAATACTTTCAGAATGCTTGTATATACATTGAATTGACGACAAATTCTTCCGTTATTTTCAGATCAGGACAAGGAGCACACTGTGGGTGTAACCTTAGAGGATGCTCACTCGACAGGACCTGATCCCACCTCTGATGTTTCGGAGGTCCGTGTTTACTCGGCTCCTATTTTGTATTGTTTTATGGACTTTTGATCTTGAATACTGTTCGTTATCTTCATATGTCTGATAAATCTGAAAATTGCTTGTAAAGTTACTTACATCCTTTGTGGCACATCCAAGCTTATAGGAAATTGTAAAGTCTGCTGCGATACCTTCATGTACTAAACAGTCCTGAAAAGTCGTATAACACACATAAACAAAATTACCCAGGTTTAAGCATTACCACACGAACAGATTGCTCAAAAGATGGAATAATACATGCTTTTCGCAAAAAGCATTTTGACAATCCTCTTGTCTTATTTGTACGATTATCTAAAGAAGGTTAATATCTTTTGTTTAAAAAAGGTATTCAAATTTTAATATGGAAAATGCATAGACTAAGTCGTTATAAATAACATTTAATGATACAGATAAAAATTGAATTATAAGCATCGCTTGAATTTGTGTAAATACTTACATAGGTCAGATCCGGACATATTCTTGTTGTATTGCAATCATTTAAGGAGGAGACATCGTTGCAACTATAACATTTCCTTGCTTGAGTAAGATGTTTGGAAAAAAACATTTCAATTATATCAACAACAAATAAAAAGTGTCTTGCAAAACGTTAAATACAAACAAATAAGGTTGTATGAAGGTACTGTAAAATCACATTATTTCGAGGGGTCAAATTTTCCTGGTTTGAGGAAAATGTGTTGGTTTATGGGGATTTGATTTCGTGGTTGAAGAATTGTTCAGTAGTAATATATGTGAAATATTATGGTAGACATAAATTACTGGATCTCTTCATACCTTGAAAACCTCGAAAATTAACCCCCATGAAAATTAGTGATTTCACAGTATATGGTCTGAAGGTATATAGGACTTACAATAACCATTAACTTAAGTATAGTGAATAAGTTGATAATTTATATTTTTTTAAATTATATATGTTAAAATGGATCAGACGATTTGTTTTTGGTACTCTTCAACTAAAATACTTGATCATTTGTTAATATTATTATATTATATTCAAAATACTTTTGATTTTAGTAAATAAAGTATCATCTTTCATTACAACAAGAATTAAACGCTGTACACATGAAAGCAATTTAAAAATTAAATGAAATAAACATATGAAAATGAAACAACATACGGCACTTATTGCAGGTCCTCGGACATAGTTTTGAAAGACACGTGTCATCACAAACACTGACTTTATTATTGAATGTCCGGCAAATATCCTCATCTATGTCGTCACAAGTAGATTCTAGTCCCCACACCACCCCAAGGAAACATAAAAGCACGCCTAGAAATTATATTCAGAAACTTGCATTTCAAAACACCAATACTACTTAAGTGTTGTCATCGTTAGTCAAAAATATTTCTTTGCTACTACGACTCAAAGAATATAATGTTCTTTTTTTATGAATGCAACTTTATGTCACGTCAATACAAACAAAGCTGTCCATAATATTCAATTATATGTAAACAATATAAGTGGATAAACGCTAAACATTTTTAAAATATGTTTCAAGGATTTTGTAGAAATGTTCATAAAATATACAGTAGGATAATGCTTACCTACAATATGCCTCATTGTAAATCGTGCATTTGAAATTTTCCACACAAGTAAAAGATTACCTACCAATGTATAAATCGTGACGATAACGCCTACGTTTAAATGTACTTAAATCAGAGATAATGTAAATTTACAGGATTCACAATTCATTGTTACAACAATTCTAGGGACTAGATACTTATCATCACTTATACATCAATACATATACTTACCTATTTTTTCTGACGTTTCATTGACCTGAATTTCCAACAGTCTAAAGTAGTAAACCTAAACTTTCCAAACATATTTTGTTTGTAAAGAAAAGGTATTATAGGTGTTTTATTTTTTTAAAGGAATTATAAATCAAATTGATTAACAAAGCAATCCAACTATGAAGACATATTATGCATTTGCTGCAGAAACCAGCACAATACTGTAAATCACTTAATTTTTGCGAGATAGTAATTGCCTCTTTATTAGCGAGACAAAATTTTCACAGATTTTGGTCATTGCTCTATATAATCTGAAAGAATAATATACGCGAGAATGATATTTTTGCGAACACATTGCCTTTCGTAATAACGCAAAAGTTCTCCCGAATAAACTTTGATTTATGGTACATCAATCAGTGTTTGGGTCAATTACTTTCGAAAAATCTTCAAATTAGATTATAAATACTACTGATTTTAAAAGAAATCGACAACAAGCTTATTACTACGGAAGCCCGCTGAGGCCAGTTTAGATAACGAAATATTTTTACGCAATAATTATTGCGTTTAAACGCAATAAAAAATATTGCTCTCTCTGAACAGGCTTTAACAGGCTTCCGTAGATTACGTGTACTTTCATTTTGTAGTGTTATTCAATACATTTGATTACTTTTCCTTCATGTAATCACGTGTTTACTCAAGATCGTACAAAATTTTATGAGGATTCTTATCGCGTTCCCAATTAATTTGTTCATCTTCTTACATTTAGTTATATGTTTGTTGTTCAAGAAAGAATTGTAACTTTGTGCAATCATCGATTGAAAGGGAATTCTGAGATCTCCATGGCACTTGATCTCACCTTTGTTGTTTATGAGGTCAGTGTTAATGACTTGTGAGTGTGATTCCGGTTTGTTATCTTTTTTTCATTACTAGTATACACTTTTTAGGTTTTTTCAATTTCTGCTATTATTTAAAGCCGCTTAGTCCGATTCTAAATCGCGAAAAATATTTTCGTTTCACTTCTTGAAAAATAATTGTCCATTGTTTCAACTTTTGTCAAATTATATCCCCTATGTCTTTTTCTTTTAAAAGATATCAAAATTCAAAAGTTAAAAAATAATTTTTGTTAGGTCAAACAAAAAATAATTCTATGTTGATATCGCGTGAAATCACCTTCGAAAAATTCAAATTATCGCTTTTATCTCATGAAGAACAAACCCGAGCATTTTTTTTTCCACAACAAAGTACTTATACCTGTACACGGACAGTATTTTTAGCCTTCGTTACTAAACTTCCTTTAAAAAATCTTTAAAGATATCTGATTTTCTTTCATTCTTTTAAATATGCATATCAATAAAAATTACTATGGATTATATTCAATTAATTTCTTTATTCTTAAAAGATATATTATGACTTAGGCTTCCACTAATGGAAAAAAACACTCGGGTTTGAATTATCTTCATAATTAGATATAACCGATAAATTTATTTTTTTTTCAAAGGTGACTTCACAACAGATCTTAAGGACATTGGCAACGTTTCTGGTTTTCGTATAGGATTTTTTAAGATTTTTTGAACAGGTTTAATGGTACCAAACATATTCAATTCAGGTCCTTTTTACCCATCAAGGCAGCCTTCCTTTAGAGATTTTGTCAAATCAATGTTTTTACAATTTTCAATGCATTTCTAATGTAAAATGTTGATAAAATGGCCCTATATTATTTTCAACCATACGTTTTCTCCAAGACCCATTTATTTCATAAGGTTTATACATGAAATACATTGTTGAAACCTTATTTCCGATGACATGCATAGACTTTGGCTGAAAATGAAAATATTGAAAGAAAACACAGAAATACTAGCACTGTTTTTTAATTTTCAGTTACTTCCCTTCACTTCTAATCAATATTCATTATGATCAAGAGACTGGTTCTTTGTTTCTATTCTATAATTTACTTTATTGGAAGCGAACTGTCATAAAACATTTTAACAAGGATTTATAGTAACTTCTAATGGTGTCTCATTCACATAACCTATAGAATCGTTCTCATTCGGTCTACCTGGCTATCACCACTTTCAGCAAAATTAATTCACATCTTTGCACTTCCCAGCATTCATGTACCTATTCTAAATGACGGCCTGTTGACTGTCTGCCCCCTCAGCACAATGTAAACAAACCCACCGCTGTTTTTCTTTTATTACTGTAGAGTTGGATATATCCCATAAAAAACACACTTGCTTTTGTTTACTTCTCAGTCTGTAACCTATGCTTTATTGGTTTTCAGCGCCTAGAGAATTCCATACGGGAGATCACTCTCAATGACTTTTTTTCATAAGTGAGAAAACCTATGTATAAACCTTTGTTTGTCAATAAGGTTTTTGATCTATTTTTCTTGTAAGGATTGTTGTAATAAACTATAAAATAATTTTAAAATTTATTTTTATATTATTATCTATGAAATGACGTACTTTTATTGTGCAAGATAATATGTGTCTGTTTCGGATTAAGCGGCTTTAAATGGATTTCTTGTGTACGTCTACATGTATTTTAACTGATCGTCTTCGTACAGTTCCATATATCATTTTTATTATAACATTGAAAAAAAAAATTATTAATAAATCAAAATAGAAAATGTTGAATTGCATTAATGGATGCAAGGTAGATTTACTTACATGCATACCTGCATTTGATTGTTTAACTTCTAGTTGCTAGATGTTTTTTATGAGAATTACAGAATTGAAGAGTCTTTTTTGTCCAATTTTGCCCCGCAAGCTATGCTATATTTATCGGTATTCTATTTATAAAATACATTTCTTTTGGAAAATCATCAAGGCTCAAGCAACATTTTATATGAGTGAGAAAAGGGTTTATGAACCTTAAATAACTAAAGTATATGTAATGCAACATCAATACTCTACTGCATTAGCGTAAAAAAAATCATTCCACATGTAGACTAAATGGTGCGGACGTTAAGTTTGCAGTGTTAGAAATCTTAATGAAAACATTTATGTTTACGTGAACTTGACTTTATTCTGGTGGATATCATATAAATTAGAAACAATAAAGATTTTTTGATGAGCATACAATTTTAATTCATTGGAGCCTTACACAAAGGCCGTAGAGAATCAGTACAATCTTCAGCATGAATACCTAGACGAGTAACTTGCACATGGTTTAGGATTGTGTAATCCTAATATTGTGTAATCCCAAATAGTTTAGGCTACCTGCATGTCTTCCACTGGTGTTCCAGACGAATTCGCCATTTCTGTGAGGATCACGAGCTCCAATGTACACGTGGCTCCTTCCAATAACTTAATTATAAAAAATCAAATAAAAACATTATCAGGAAGAATTCTTTGAAAAACTTTTTTTTAAAGAATGGTATTGTCAATCCAAATAAAGTTTAGTTTAAAAATACTTGTTTTCCGTTTCTTATTTCGTTGTCTTTACACTTAATAATATATCTTAAAAGCTGTAATATGGTTTGTGCAATCTTCATTGCGATTATTGCCATTGTAACATTGTAGCTTGAAAGGCACACTTTTTTTTTTAAATAACAGGGATTTGATTTTCAATTTCATAACAATATTCATATTGTTTCTATACATGCAAAGAGATTTAATTACCTTCTCCTAAATAGATTGTCTTCCAATTTATTATAAAGAATTACAACGTATAAAATGAAAACATCGGAACACGTTTTAAAAAAAAAACAGTAGAAGATGAAATATAAAAAATGAAATGAATTATGCAAGTCCATGGCTTAAATACGTATAGTTGAAAGATTCGAAGTAATTTGACATTTTCTTTATTTTGAGACTACTATACCTCGCATATTTTCTACAAGTATACATCCTTTGTTACAATTTTCTGCAACAAATTAATTACATGTACCTTAGATAAGAATTCATTACATAAATCCATAACCTGTTATGGATCTTACCAAAATGTTCAAGCGCTCTGTAATCTCCGTGTGAAAGGGCTCGGCCAGTTTGGAACAGTGCGTCTTGCAAAAGTTCTAAATATTGAATTTCATTTTTGAAAAGGTTCTTCAACTCGTATTAATTTAGATAAAAAAAATAATGTGACTTTGAATATAGAAAAGGATTGTGAATATACATGTACTGTAATTATTCTTATCATAGCATCATCGTAATTTACAGCAGTACTACAAATCATATAACATTTACCATCAACGAGATGGAAGTTTGAAGGACAGTGCATGGTGATTAGCAGCTGTGTAGGCACACGCTTTAAAAGGGAATTGGATTAAATATTTTTTTTTCTATATCATTATACCAATTGAAATTTTTTTTTTTCAATATATATTTTCCGTATAAAAAGAAATGGTGATACAATTTTCCTTTAACATGGATAGTGAATACTTAAGTATTTATTTAAAAGAATTGGTTTCTTACAAGTAAGTGATATATTCCTTTGGTAGAGTGAAATATATGGAGATAACGAACAGTTTTCAAGCTCAAAAGGCCAAAAAACCAATAGAAAATAAGAGAAGAGCAAACACGGACCTAAAAAACAACAGAGTTAGGATCAGGTGCCATGGAGGAGTGAGCATCCCCTGCCGACCTGTCACACCCGCCGTGTGTTCCTAGTCAAGATCGGGAAAATAACAGAAATCTGTCGTCAATTCAGTGTGTGAAAAATGGCCTAACAATTAGTATGAAAAACGTCAGTCAGCATTTGACTCAATGATAAATCGTATTTGCTGACAATGTCATTTTATCGACCATAGAACGTACAAAATGATGACTTTAAACGAGACTAATGATAACCTTGTTTTATCAACATGTTTGTCAATAACTTACCTCTTTGTAGATATTGTAGATACATGTACGTAGAGGTGTACTTTGTTTTGAAGTGGTGTATGCTCTGTAA